GAGAGAGAGAGAGAGAGAGAGAGAGAGAGAGAATCAATAACAACTCAGATGGAGCTGAGTTTTCCCTAGCCTTATCATGTTGCAGTTTCCTAAATGGGCAGCAGAGGGAGCAGTGACCAAATGAATGGCTGTTTGGAGGCTAGGGCTCGCTTGCTCCTGCTACCGCGGTTCTGTTGAATTCCAGCCAGCAGTAGCAGACTGTGTGACTCTGGCAGTTTGAAGAGGGGAGCCTGTGAGGCCAGCTGGGCTATCAGCCTTCCCAGACTGGCCCTGATGCCTCCTGATGCATTCAGTCAGAAGGGACAGGAACACTTCAGCTGTTCTTATTGGCTCAGCACAGGGACTGCTTGTTTGAAATCCCCTCATATCAGAGATGATATGGGTTTTGCAGAACAAATTCAGGTTGTCACATTTGCAAGGCAAACACTGTAGCCCCTGTGCTTTCCCCTCAGCCCTGGGACCCACACCTCTTGATCTTTGGGGTGGTCTCTTGCTTAGCCAGCATGGGAGACTTTGGGGAATAGGTTCTAAGGATATTAAGAGAAATCAAATGTAGGGGCTTCTGTTCTTCTGAGTCGAGGGGCTTGATTGTAACACCTGTCTGAATATGGTCCCCTAGCACACCACCAGTGGGCAAGCCAGGAAGAACAGAGCCCTTCTTCAGTACCCACATATTCCCATAAGAAACTGTATTTTTGCAGTGTATCAGGCTGTGTACATATGGGAATCACTTATATCACTCACAGTTCCAGGTATCAGTCCATCATTGTGGGGAGTCATGGCAACAAGAGCTTGAGAACCAGTCACATCCACAGTCAAGAGCAGAAAGAAATGAATTCATGCTTGCTTGCACTCAGCTCTGTTTTCCACACTTACATAGTGCAGGACCACTATGTCTAGGGAATGGTGTATCTTATAATGAGCTGGATCTTTCCACATCAGTTAACTTAAGACAGTCACTGATGGACATGCCCACAGGACAACCCAGTGTAGACAATCCTTCACTGAGACTCTCTTTCCAGGGGATTCTAGGTTGTGTTAAGTTCATAGTTGGAACTAAGCATCACAAACAGCCTCTCCCAAGTCAGCAGAAATGGACTAAAAGTAATGATGCCTTCAGATCAAGACAGCAAAATTACCAGATCAGAGAGGACCACGTTTCTGGGAATGGTAGAGCCATTACATGACCATCCATTCCAGGAATGCTGGTTGTGTGAAATGGTGTGTCAGAGGCTCTACCACTTCCCTCTATCATCTTCCTTTGACATCTTACAGTTCCTTGTTTTGCTTCCTGACTCAGAATAGATTCAAGGAGTGAGCAACGGTGGATGGTAAATAGATGCCATTGTCTCCAGTGGTCTCTGGCACAGTGGGACAGCAGCGAAAGATGAGTGGCTCCGAGGAAGGCAGAGTACATCAACTGGGCTCCCTGGGTAAGGCTGGGCTTGGGTTCTAGGGACTTGGGGAAAGGTTTCAGTGAGGCCAACTTACATCTCAGTTTGCCAAGGATCTGGCTGACATTCTGTCCATTCAGATGAGGAACACCTGATACCCAGCGGCACCAGATACTCCCTCAAAGGCTTCAGATTTCAACCACCCTGTGTCCTCAAGAAAGCTACAGGTAAAAGGAGTGGGAAAGGACAGGTTTCCTCGGTTGTCTCTGTCCTGGGGAGGGGGGAAATAAAAGTCTGGATCTAGAAGAGTGAGGGAAGAGGAGGATGGAGCCTCGACCTCTGGGTCCTGTGGAGGATGGATGCTGGCCCTGGACTCCTTGGTCCTCTGGGTGGAGGCTGTGGATTGCACTAAAGTCTTAAGGAAGAGAACACTGGGGGTGCTGTGGAGTTGGAGACTGAAAACTGGACTTCACAGTCCAATGGAGGTGGAAACTGACAACAGGATCTTGGATCCTGAGGATATGTAGCTTGAGAGCTAGTCTCCCGGGTCCCATAGAAGTAGATGTTAAAGTCAGACTCTTCACCTCTACTAAGCAGAGATTGTGTTTATATTCCTGGTATTCTACATGTAGGAGATCAGTGTTTATAGAGTCCTGGGTCCTTGGGTGGCTACATCTAGGAGACTGAACTCCTGGGTTGTAGGGAGACAGAGGTTCAAACTGGGTCGTGAAATGTTCAAGGATGAAAAGCTGGGATCTTAAGTCTTAGGGTGATTGAGTCTGGAAGGACTGAACTATATTCTGGAGACATTCATCATCCTGGATCTGGGAAAGGTGGAATATGAGGCTCTGGACTCCTGGGTCTTGGGGTGGTTAAGGCTAAAAACCTAGAATGGTCAGATTCTGGGTCCTGAAGAAGGATATGCTGAGATGTTCCTCGGAGATAGTGGGAAGGAATGTAAGTACTAGGATTTGAGAGACATAGACACTGAGGTTTTGGAAGCTTGGGTCTTAGGAAGAATAAAAAAATAAAGACTGGACTATAAAACTAAGGGAGTGTTAAGTCAGAAAAGAATTTTGAGTCCTAGAAAAGTGAAGGTTGGAACACAGGCAAAATGGATGCCAAAGAGGTTGGAGCTACAGATCTGAAAAGAGGGTACTGGTGTCTATGGATCATAGTTGTCAGGGACACTGCTGTGATAAACTTCCACTGTCTCTTCTGCAGGGTATCTGTGCCACGGTCTTGGCCCCTTTGTGCTGCAGCTGATCTGCCTCACACTCTCTGCTATTCTCCTGCTGGCTATCCTTGTCAAAGGTCAGGCATGTCTGAGGGTTGGGGGATCCCTGGTAAGACTCTTCAGCTAGGTACCAAGGCCCATGAGAGAGGTAGGCTAAAGCTTAGGAACTTTTAGAAAATTCTGAGAGCCCTTCCCACCTCTGGGGTAGAGGAGGGTCTTGGCTCTTCTTCCCTTGGCCATTCCGTTTTCTCTGAATATCAAATTCTTCATCTTCAAGAGATATTGAACCTGCACTTAGAAAGATGGTTCACTGGAAAATCATTTGTCAAAGAAACATGAGGACCTGAGTTTGGATCCCAGAACGTATGTGAAGCAGGAAATGATAGGCATATTTCTGTAACTCTAGCTATTGTGAGATGGGCAACAGAGACAAGAGAATCCTGGAAACTTTCAGGCCAGCTAATCTGGCATATGCAGTGGTGGACAAGAAACCCTGTATCAAACAAAGTGAAAGGTGAGGACTGACACCTAAGGCTGTCTATCCCCTGACTCCTCCAGTATGTGACAGTTTGTCCACCGTCACAAACACACATGTGCATGCACACCCACCTACAGTTTTTAAAAAGAGGTATTAAGCATGGTACTTTGTTTGTTTGTTTGTTTTTAATGCCCCTGGTGGACAAGTTCGGGCCATGGTGTATAAAAAATGTTTAATAATTACAGATTGCTTTTCTTATTACAGTCTCTAATGTTGCCTACTCCCAAGGACAAGAACAGGCAAAAAAGGAGAAGGTATACCAGGAGATGGCCCAGCTAAAGCCTCAAATAAGTGAGTGACTAGAAGGCAAGAGCCCCCAGGGACTCAACAGAGCATCTCCATGTCACATGGGTTGGCTTCAGCTACTACCCAGCTCTGAGCCTCCACATTTTCCTCATTTGATTTGATAACCTTATGTAAAGATAACAATGAGGAGGTGGCAGGATGGTTCGGCAGTTACAACCACTTGCCATCAAGCCTTAAGATCTAAGTTAGCTTCTTGTGACTCCCAAGACGGAAGGAGAGAACCCACTCTCTCAAGTTATTATCTGACCTCCACACATGTACTATGGCATGGGCATAACTACACACACACACACACATACACACACACATAAATTAATTAATTAGCTAATTAATTAATGGTTGAAATTAAGGCAAATGGAAGTTGGTATCCATAGAGAACTGTGCACATGGTTGACATTCAGTTAGCCAAACTGCAAACAAAGATCTATTTTGAACTCTAAGTTTATTCTTCTTCCAGTCTTGAGGAGGTGGTCCAAGACTTCTGGATTCTTGTGGTATGAGGTACCCTCTCAGGGAGTAGAGAAAGGAATGACTTCCTTGGATGCTATGTCTCAGGAACCACTGCTAGGGTTGAGAGCTGAGCAGGCACAGAAATACAGGCATCCAAGTACATGACCATCCTGACCTACCTCCCCCAACAGACCGCCTGTGCCGCTCCTGCTCCTGGGACTGGACACTCTTCCAAGGAAACTGTTACTTCTTCTCCAAGTTCCAACAGAACTGGAACGACTCTGTCACCTCCTGCAGAAAACTGGATGCCCAGCTAGTGGTCATCAAAAGTGATGATGAGCAGGTACATCTGGAGGGACCCAAACTGTTCTAGTACATGTACCTGGCCACAGGCATCTGAGGAGATGCAGTTTGCTAGTTGGATTGTGGATGAGTGCTACTTACTCCACATGAAAAGGGAAGAAAAGAAGAGTAGAAATAAAAAGATACCAAGCAGTGTTTCACCACCACCACCATTATACAGCATCTGAACATGAGTGGGTGCCCTAGGTAACACACAAAATGTAAATGGTTTCTATTGGCACACTGGAAAGCACTGAATGACTTCCTTTATTGGGCTTTTTAAAAAGTCCAATATCTAGCATTTGCCAATTCCTCTCACATAAATGTTGCCATCCTGAAATTCAAGTTACCAATGGGACATCCCTCAATGCAGAGCTCAAAGAAGGTCCAGTGTATGATCAAAAATGAAAAACTGGTACAATCTGACTTCAGCATTTGTACCCAGTGGTGAATTAATCCATCTGGCCATGCGCAGCACCCTTCATAAGGCAGACAGATAGGCAATATTAACGTGTGTCGTGAGAGGAGGTCCAGAGCAAACAGGATACAGATGTGGAAGCCATGAGACCTCGTGGTACCTTGGAAAGCTGAATATCAGACTGCAAGCAGAACTTCCTGCTGAGAGTTAGGGCAGGAGAGCAATACATGGAATACAAGGTATGTAGCCACCACCTGACTGCTTCTCTGTCCCTCCAGAGTTTCCTGCAACAGACTTCTAAAGAGAAAGGCTATGCCTGGATGGGACTGTCAGACCTGAAGCATGAAGGCAAATGGCACTGGGTGGATGGCTCACATCTGCTGTTCAGGTAGATCCAGGGGAAGGGGAGCAGCTTATAGCACTGGGTGGTGTGTCACTTACTTCTGTTACTGTGAAAAAGATAACTTAAGGAAGAAACTATTTACCTGGTTCACGGATCCAGGGGGCATAGTTCTTATGGTGGGGATGGCATGGCAGCAGGAGCTGAGGTAGTGGGTCACATGGCAACAGCAGCCAGGAAGCAGAGAGTAAACAAGTAGGCCAGACTATAAAGCTTAAGGCCCACCCCAGAGATGTGCTTCCTCCAGTGCCTAAAGGTTCCGCAGCCTTCTCGAATGGTGCCAGCTAGGAACCAGCTGTTCAAACACTGAGCCTATGGAAGACATCACACTCAAACCACAATAGGTGGCGTTAGCAAACGTTGGCTAGAGTTCTTTCTTGGATGTGTCTCCATACCCTAGCTCTCTAGCCATAAAAGACATTTACTCATGGGGAAAGGAGCTCTTCATGACCATATGCTGATAAGATGCCAAGTGCACGGAAATCCACAGTCAGAGATGGAGGAGGGATTGCAGCCTACAGGAGTCATTTAAATGTAGTATATTAACAGAAAATCTATGTGATAGTGTATTCTCATTGCTGTAACTAAACAGCTGATAAAATCAATGTAAGGAATGATTAATTTGGCTCACAGTTTGAGGGTACAATCCATGATGGCAAAGGCATGCTGGCAAGAGCTTGAGGAAGCTAGTCACACTGCAGCTATAGTCAGGAAGCAGAGGAAGAGAAATGAATGCTTAAAAACAAGCAGAATGAAACAGACCCAGCCTATTTTCTCTATTGTATGTGTATACATGTGGGGTGTACACGTATGTGGGGATGGGTCCATGTGCACAAGTGTGGGGTGAGTTCATTGCACATGTGTAGGGTGGGTGCGTGTGTTCATGTATGGGATGGGTGCATGTGTACATGTGTGGAGTTGGTATATGTGCACATGTGTGAGAATAGGAGCAGAAACCAACCTCTCTTATCTTTGCAGATTGTATTCTACCTGATAGTTTGAGACAGAGTTTCTCACAGAGCCTGGAGTTTGTTACTGAGATAGGCTGGCTGATTAGCAAACTCAGGGACCCTCCTATCTCTGTACCCCACCCTACAGTGCTGGGGTTATAAGCACACAGCTGCTAGATGGGTGTGGGGATCCAAACACAGGTCTTCAAGCCTATGAAGAAAGTACTTTATGTATTAAGCAATCTTTCTAGATCACTACTTTACCCTTTTTATAAACTTAGGTCCCAGCCCATGGAAAAGTGTTGTCAGCATTAAGGCTGGATCTTCCTACCTCTATAATATAATCTAGAAACTCTCTCACAGACATGCAGACTCATCTCCTAGATGACCCTAGATTCTATCAAGTGGATGATTAGTATAAACCACCACTGGTAGTAAACTTTCTTGTCACCATGGGAAACATTACTTGTTATACTCACAGATCCCAAATGCAGGGACAGACCTCATGTCATAGGCATCACAGAAGGAAGTACCTGGTCCTGTCAAAAGCTGTGGGATCGGGGTGGGAGTTGGGAGGTTGAAGGCAAGAACTCTTATTCTGGTGTCCATGGGAACAAATGACTATAGCTGTGTTCCAGGCTTAGGACTGGCCATTATGGAGAATCCATGGGGTTCCAGGTTGGTCCATGCTGGATTTTTCTCCTCTTACACAATTCAGGGCCCCTTGCTTAGGCAGTGGGTGCTCCCACAGTATGTTCAGCTTTTCCACATCTCTTAAATATAACTAAGAAAATCCTCCACAGACACACCCACAGGCCAACCCAATATAGGTAATCCCTAAGACTGTCTTTTCAGTTGACCGTAAGTTGCATTAAGTTGACAGTGAAAGCTAGCCCTCATGTGGTGCAACCATGAGGACCTGATTCCATCCCCTAAACCCACAAAAGAAAGCCAAGTGTTTGGGGCATGTGCATGTATTCTCAGCACTGGGAAGGCAGAAACAGTGGACCTGATGCTCACTAGAAAGTTAGTGTAGTAAATTGCATTTAACTGGCACTTATGGTTTTAGGGGGTTAGAGTTCATGACCATCATGACAGGGAGCATGGCAGCAGGAAAGCAGGCATACTGCTGGAGAAGTAGCTAAGAGTTCACATCTTAATCCATAAGCACAAGACAAAGACCTAGCTAGGAATGGTGTGGCCTTTTAAAACTGCAAAGCCCACCCCCAGTAACACACCTCCTCCAATAATTCCACACCTCCTAATCCTTCCCAAACAGCTGTACCTACTGGGGACAAGCACTCAAACGTATGAGGCTGTGGGAGCCATTGTCATTCAAACCATCACAATTGGTTTTGCAGTTTCAGGAAATACTGGAACAGTGGAGAGCCCAACAACGATCAGGAAGAAGACTGTGCAGAGTTCAGAGGCGACGGCTGGAATGATGCCCCATGTACAATTAAGAAATACTGGATCTGCAAGAAGTCTGCTATGTCCTGCCCTGAAACATGATATGTCATCTGTCTGTAACACCTGTTGCCAAAATGACCCTGCAGGGTGACTGAACTTAACCTTCGATCTGTGTGTGTCAGTTCCTTCCTCTGTGAATGAAGATCTTAACTACAGCTGTCTCTTCATCTGTCCTCTCCCTCCCTCCCTTCCTCTTTTCCTTCCTCCCTCCTCTCTCCCTCTCCCTCTCCCTCTCCCTCTCCCTGCCTGTATCCCAGATCGGATACAGGCACGT